GGGTTCAATTCCAGTCAAGGGCATGTACTTTGGTTGCAGGTTCCTCCCCGGCCTGGGCCCTGGTCCTGGTCGGGGCATGTGCAGGAGGCAACCAATCGATGTGTCTCTCCCATATCCATGTTTCTCTCTGTCTTTCTCTCTCTCTTCACTCTCCCTAAAAATCAATAGAAAAAAATATTCTTGGGTGAAGATTAACAACAACAAAAAAAGTAAAAAGAAACAGGTGAAGTTTTAATTGTGTGTTTTATTTCCGTCAGTCCATTCAAAGTATTCTGGTCTTTCTCTCTCTCTCCACTCTCCCTAAAAATCAATGGAAAAAATATTCTTGGGTGAAGAATATTCTTGGGTGAAGATTAACCAAAAAAAAGTAAAAAGAAACAGGTGAAGTTTTAATCGTGTGTTTTATTTCCGTCAGTCCATTCAAAGTATTCTGGTTTTATTATATGATACAGCCACACCGGCACTCCGTAGCCACATATTTGTGACCAGTTATTCCCAGTGTCCCAGTCAAATGGGCCTAATTGAAATAGTGTAGCCATTCTTTCTTTCTTTTTTTAATATATTTTTGCAGCCACACCGGCACTCCGTAGCCACATATGAGTGAGTGAGTAGCCACATATTTGTGACCAGTTATTCCCAGTGTCCCAGTCGAATAGGCCTAATTGAAATAGTGTAGCCATTCTTTCTTTCTTTTTTAATATATTTTTACTGATTTCAGGGAGGAAAGGAGAGGGAGGGAGGGAGAGAGAGAGAAATGATGAGAATCTTGATTGACTGCCTCCTTCATGCCCCCTGCTGGGGATCGAGCCCACAACCCGGACATGTGCCCTTGACCAGAATCGAACCCGGGACCCTTCAGTCCGCAGGCTGACGCTCTATCCACTGAGCCAAATCCTCTGGGCTAGCCATCTCTTTAGATCAGGTCCAGGAAGTTACCTGTCAATCAGACGGCGGAAACTGAAGGGAACCACATGTTCCCAGGCCCCTGACTTTCCCACGAATGCTGACTTCTGACAAGCGGCGAACAGCAGTGGGCCGGTGTCCACTCGACTCCCGTTTCATCCCACGCCCCTGTCATCACTTCTCACGTGCCGCAGGTTTTTTCTGGCATCTGCCTAGAGCAGCCGTGGGCAAACTACGGCCCGCGGGCCGGATCCGGCCTGTTTGAAATGAATAAAACTAAAAAAAAAAAAAGACCGTACCCTTTTATGTAATGATGTTTACTTTGAATTTATATTAGTTCACACAAACACTCCATCCATGCTTTTGTTCCGGCCCTCCGGTCCAGTTTAAGAACCCATTGTGGCCCTCGAGTCAAAAAGTTTGCCCACCCCTGGCCTAGTGTCTCCACTCAGAATGAGGACTGTTTTTAAAACAACAGCTCAAGCCCTAGCCAGTTTGGCTCAGTGGATAGAGCGTCGGCCCGTGGAGCAAAGGGTCCCGGGTTTGATTCCGGTCAAGGGCACGTACCTTGGTTGCCGGCTCCTCCCCGGCCCGGGCCCTGGTCAGAGTGTGTGCAGGAGGCAACCAATCGATGTGTTTCTCTCACATCGATGTTTCTCTCTGTCTTCCCCTCTCTCTTCCACTCTCTCTAAAAGATCAATGGAAAACTATCCTCAGGTGAGGATTAGCGAAATAAATAATCTATAATAATAAAAGCATAATATGCTAATTAGACTGGACAGCTGAAAGACTTTCCAGATGTCCTTCTGGACAACCTCCTGGATGAAGCCAGGGCTGCAAGGGCCGAGGGCAGCTGCGAGGGCTGAGACCCTTGCACGAATTTTGTGCAACAGGCCTCTAGTTAATAAATAAACAAACAACAGCTCGATTCGTTTCTAACCATCCTTTCACTCTGGCAGACACAGTTCAAACCTAAACCTCCACCAGAAAGCATTGGCCCAGGAAGCACTGGAGAGCGGCGAAGACCATATCCGCGCAGCGTACCTTCTGAAAGACGTGGCTAAGGAGGCCTATCCGGACGTGGCTTTCACGCAGCAAGCGTCCCAGACGTCTGTCATCTTCAAGGGCACCAGCCGCATGGGCAGCCTGGTCTACCCGATAGCCCAGGTGCACAGCGCCGCCCTGGAGAGCTACAGCTCCGGCCCGCCGGGCGAAGGCACCATCCTGGACCTGAGCACTACCTCGAGCATGAAGTCAGAGAGCAGCAGCCATTCCTCCTGGGACTCCGACGGGGCGGCGAGCGAGGAGGGCGCCGGGCTCATGGAGGACAGCGACGGGAACTGCGAAGGCGCCGGCCTCGTCCCCGGGGAGGATGAGTACCCCATCTGCGTGCTGATGGAGAAGGCCGACCAGAGCCTCGCCAGCCTGCCTTCCGGGTTGCCCATCACGTGTCACCTCTGCCAAAAGACGTACAGCAACAAAGGGACCTTCCGGGCCCACTACAAAACCGTGCACCTGCGCCAGCTGCACAAGTGCAAGGTGCCCGGCTGCAACACCATGTTCTCGTCTGTGCGCAGTCGCAACAGACACAGCCAGAATCCCAACCTGCACAAAAGCCTGGTCTCCTCCCCCGGTCACCTCCAGTAGCAAGATGGGAAACGCAAGGGCATTGTTTCTGGGGGAGAAGGTAGGACACAAGGGTCTGTTTCGGGCTTTACCACCATTCGGGACAAGCCAGGCCAAAAAGCATTGGCGTTGACTTTCTCGTCTTCGGCTGCAGGATGAGCGGGGCGTTGGGGCGTTGGATGAGCGGGGTGTTGGCGTGGGGCAGCCTTTCCTATCATTTGTTCTCAGCCCCGGGTGTTTTTCACTGACAACGACGAAAACGTGCAGAAATGCAGTTTTTCCCAGCTCTGTTTACACGTTCCCTGGGAGATCTCTGGGCCTGCAGATTGCCTTCAGGGGCCCCCGGACCTGGAGGCGGCTTGGAGGGAGGCTGGCTGGATTTCGGGGGGATTGAGTGTCCCGGGGGAAGCTGGCTGTCACCATGGGTGAGGAACCAGCCCCCTAGAGATTCCATTTTTTTTTTCAGTTCCTGCTTTCATGAGTCTGAAACCCAGATTTCAGTTTGGGAGCGGGACTTTCGGAGACAGTCCCTCCATTTGGAGTGGAAAATCGCCTCCCCCCGCCCCCACAAAGGTCTCACGTGTTACTCCGGGGGGCTCTCAGAGGAGGCCGGTTGGCCCCCAACGCCCAGGAGCGGGAATGTTACTGAGGATGTTAGTTCTCGCTCTGTAACATGCGTTCGAGAAGCTGGGGACGGGGGAGACCATGCACTTAAAAATAGCAGTCTTCGATTTAATTTAAGATAATTTTGATGATATTTAATTTGTGTTTATATATGTGAGTATAAGGGGTGAGTGCAGACATGTCACAGTGTGATCTGGGTGGGGAGGGGAAGGGGGCGTCTCGATCGAAAGCAGAAGGAGTGATGACCCTAAACGTCAAACCCACTGCCCGTCTTCACTGGGGGGAAGTTCAGAGTCTACTACCGGCGCTGCCCTGCGGAATGGCCGCAGGCGCAACCCGGCAGGACCGTTTGTGTATATATTTTTGACCCAAGCGTTTAGAGAGTGTGGTTCAGAGGGTGGGTGTGCATTGTCAGTATCCCCGGATCCCTCCGTCTCCATCCTTTATAGACCTGTAAGATTAGGGGGAACTTCCGGAGTTACATGGTAGAAAGAAAAGTAGGATGTTACTGCCATACTATGTGTCTTAATATTTAACTTATTCTGAACTATAGTCCACGCTGTTGTACACCTTTGCTGTTGTAGAAAGGAAGCATGATCGGTCCCATCTCGTGAAATTCGGCGTTTACAGCTCTCTAAAAGCCCGAGGTAGGGAAAAAGAAGTCAATTTCATATGAAGACTTCAAGTTCACCGTCTTTGAAAGTTACGGTTGCTTTAAGTAATGAAAAACATCCTTAGAGAGAATTGGGGGTGGTGAGAGAGAGTATTCCCGTGGCCTAAAGGTGAAAGAAGCCAACAGGCTGTTACTGATTTATGTCAACGTTTAAAAATAAATAAATGTGACAACTTCAAACTTGTCTGTGCTTAAAGGGAGATGTATTGTTCATCGGTTTTGTTACCCAGCTGTTCAATATTCCAGGTTTCCCAAAGTGGGAAAAAAAAGTGTATAGAAATGAGTTTTCTATGATTTAATAAAAATATATGGCATACTTTTTGTTTAAGAAGACGAACATTTTGTAAAGCCAGTTTTGTTTTATATGGGCTGCTTGTTGTGCAGGTGCTGGTGGTCACACACACACACTCACTCACACACACACACACACACACACTCACTCTCACACTCTCACACACTCACACACACACCATGAATCTTACAGAGCTGAAAACCCGGCTGGAGGGCCGGCCCTCAGATCAGTAACTTCTGCCACCTCAAGTCAGGAACGGCAGCAATTCCTGAGGTCCAAAGAAAGGAAGTGGTGCCCTGGGTCGGTTTGGCTCAGTGGATAGAGCGCTGGCCTGCGGACTGAAGGGTCCCAGTTTGATTCCGGTTAAGGGCACGTACCTCAGTTGCAGGATCCTCCCCAGCCCAGGCCCTGGTTGGGGCTCGTGCAGGAGGCAACCAGTCGATGTGTTTCTCTCACATCGATATTTCTCTCTGTCTTTCCCTCTCTCTTCCACTCTCTCTGAAAATCAATGGAGCCCAGCTGGCATGGCTCAGTGGTTGAGCATCGACCTATGAACCAGGAGGTCACGGTTCGATTCCCAGTCAGGGCACATGCCCAGGTTGCAGGCTCGATCCTGTGTGGGGCGTGCAGGAGGCAGCCGATCCATGATTCTCTCCCATCATTGATGTTTCTATCTCTCCCTCTCCCTTTCTCTCTGAAATAAATAAAAAAACATTTTTTTAAAAAATCAATGGAAAAATATTGAGTGAA